CTGCATTCATGCACGCTGACGAACACACACTTGTTGCCTCAGGTGCGGACATCCATGCATGTGCTGCGGCGATGCAACCCGCTCTGTCCCTTTTATCGAAATGGGCTGCCAGACACAACCTCAAAATCAACGTCGGTAAGAGCGAAGCTGCTGCATTCTACATCTCCACACACACACGGTCTGACGAGGACATGGTCGATCTCCATCTTGGCAATGGGCAACTACGCATTCAGTCACGCCCGGTGCGCTTGCTGGGCACCACGATTGATCGCCTTCTTAATTTTGGCACGCACGCCTCCACCGCCTCAAAGCAGACAATGCCACGCCGTTACCAATTGAAGCTGGTCGCACAAGCTGGTGCGTCCCATCTCACCATGCGATTCTTTTCGATTGGATACGTCCACAGTGTGTCACTATATCGTGGCGAGGCAATTGTCTCATGCCTTGCCTACAACTACCTCCATAATATGGAAGTACGGTACCGCGACAGCTGTAACACATCTCTTTTATTTAGCGCACCAACGGAAGATACATCTGTCTACTTGGAAGCCAATCTTTCCGGCTCCGGAAGATACTCTGGCTCCGTGCACTCACACAATACTAACTCTGTATGCGCCTCCATGACCACGAGGATTTGCGTTCCCTTATCTACTCGGAACCTATGCCGCCGTCCATGCATGGGAAAGCGGCGACATCAATCCCGCTTCAGAGAGATGCCGTTATTAATGAATTACGCCGCGTCTGTAACATTATTGGGACACCCCGCAACCACCTTCGCGCTCTCCTCTTATTCAACATCGTATTTTTTCCCTGGGACACTGTGAGCTGCAAAAAGTGAGATTTTATCAGTCAGTCTTTGCCAACGACGCCTCTGACGATGTCAGGCGCACGGCTTTTGATTCTATTTGCTCCTCTCTGGGAGATTATGATTTTGAATTATGGATGGACAGTCCCTCCTCTCTCGCTGAACCCGCACATTGATCCGCTGCAGTATTGTACGAATACACCACGGCAAATGATCTTCCTGCGGAGGTCCATCGTGCAGCAGCTGGCAGGCTCGCATGCTCATATAGAGCAGAGTGCCTTGCCATTGAAAATGGATTTAGACATCTCATACCTCCTCGTCTGGGAACATCCCAATTGCCCACACAAATCTTGGTGGCAACGGACTCCCTGTCGGCAATTGAGGCGTTCTGTTGCCCATTGACCATGCGAGACCGCGTTACTGAAGAGATTTGGATTGTGCTGCTTCCTTAGTGGAGCGAGGCCGTCCTGTAGACTTTATACTTTCCCCATCACACTGCGGTATCCCACGCAGTGAGGCAGCTGGCGAAGAAGCCACGATTGCAGGCTCTCTCCCGCAAGAAGGCATCCCAATGTAGCAAGTGGAATTCCTCACTGCAGTCAAGAGGTTATGCTGGGAGAAATTCAATGAGGAAGCAGAAGGCGCGTACACCGCACGCCAGGCGGCTTTCGGTGTGGCGAGGACCCCATTCCTGCTGTTTTCCCGGACACAGGGCATCGAATCGCGTCTTTGCGCAAGGCGCGATGCGACTCCGGCCCACTCTTCGGCAGGCCTGCGCACGCGCCACGCAGATTACAGGCAACCCATTATGTCGGCGGTGCCATCCCTCCCACACTGAAGAGGCAGGACCACCCCGACCGCCTCCGGAACCTCCACCTGGCGTGTCGACGGCATTTCCTCGGAGAACGACGAGCAGCATGTCAACGTCGCCCTGCCCAATCGGTGGCAGAGTCTTCTCGTCCTTCCACAATATGAAGGTACACGCCCGACGTGTCCACCATGGCACTCCAATCGTTGCAGAAGACCTCACACGTGGATTCTGCGACAGCTCCACCGTATTCCCAAGAAGCGCCTCACGCGCAGGTCATTACCAAAAATGTCAGGCGTGTCAACGAGCAAAAAACGGACAGCGCAACTCCGCAAGCTCCAATGACGGCCATAGCCCTACAGCCACTCCTCTGCTGCAACCCCACCAGCCGCTGAGCCCCCGACAATCCACGGGAGGCCCTGCCGCACACGCTGTGGCAACACCCCCAATCCCACCAATGAGCATTCGTCTTTTTGGATAAAATCCATGTCGCACGACAGCAGCGTTCAGGAAGGAAACCTGGCCACATATCTACGGACGGTCCTCAGAATATTAACGAACAGTGGCTGCAAAGTATGACAAAGTGGAAAAATTCCCTGTTTCTCAGTACGAAAAAACATCATCTTTACAGTCGCAATTCTCATTCAATGAATTCATTGCGTAATGCCGCTCCGAGCTGCAATACTTCCTGGTGCCATCCAGGTCCCCTGTCGACACATTGACGCGGGTGGGCGCCCATCCATTCCTCCCAACGACGGTGCATGTCTGCGATGTTCCCTCTGCTCCAAAAGGACACTTCTCTCAGCACAGCCGGGATCGACCTCGCGCTGGCGGCACGCATCGCCTTGTCAATGGAGCAGGAGCACGCCAGGGTGACAGCAAAGCACCCGCATGCACAACACATCACAGACATCATCACAACCAGAAGTACCAGCAGCAATGCAGACCGTGGGGCGACGTGAACCAACTGACGCATGCTGTACGTGAAGGAGGACACTTCATACGTATAAAAGAAAACAATTGATGGCTTGGCAAGGATAAAAGACACTCACAGTCGCTCAAAAGAATAAAAATACAAAAAGACAATTTAGGCGTACGCAGTCAACGCAAGCCACCAATCAAAAAAGCAAAAAATCAAAAGGGGTAATGTGTGCACTCAACCACAACACAATAAAAACAATAAAACAAGAACAAAAAGCCGAAGCGTGGAACGACCAGCGCACACACACTCTCATTACTCCCGTAAAGCAAAACACACACACAGAGGGAGAGAGAGAGAGGTCGCCCACTCAATGCAATAAAAACAAAACAGAAACAGTTACGGTGCTCCGCCCATGCAGCCAGGCAGGACGGCAGCGGTGCGTGTCGTGCAAATGAGAGCACCAACAAGCCTGCATGGGTGTGCATGCATATATACAATGGGCACATTATTGTGTGTGCCTCGTGGGGTGAGGTGAGGGCGAGAGTCCATGCAAGGGGAAACACACAGAGAGAGAAGGAAGAGTGTGTGTGCGGGCGGTGCACGGCTCTCTCCCTCACTCTCACGCGGCCACCACCGCATCCGCACACGCAACAACAAGAAGAAGCAAAAGAGGGGAGATGGTGTGGGAGACCGCGGTGCTGCTGTCGCTGTCTCCGGTGGTTGTTTTGTTTTTTGTGTTAGTGGAGATGTTTACGGCTGCTGTGGATGCTTCACTGTTGGCTGCTGCAGTGTCAATGCTGTGTGGTGCGCTTTTGGGTTTTCTTGCTGCTTCCTTCTGATCCACTTCTTCTGTAAATGCATTGTTGCCATTGTTGTTGAGGCTACGCGCATCATGATTGTTCGGGGTTGTGGTTGTGGCAGCGTCTGACTCTCCCGCTGGAGGAGCTGTGGGGCTGCTCTCACTGTCGCCAGTTGGAGCTGCGTCAATCAGTTTGTTGTTTGTAGTTGCTGGTTCTGTTTGCGTTTTGTCGCCAGGAAGAGTCTCATGTTGCGTTCCTTCTGTCGGTACTGCGTCACCAGGTGGTTGGTTATTGTTGGAATGGACCTCCTCAGCGGGTTCCTTTTCCGGAGTCAGAGTCGAAGTACTTCCACTCGTAAAAGGAGATGAAGGTTCTGTTTGTTGTTGACCGACAGGTGGTCGATTTTTTGTGGCACCCGCGCTGGACGCGGCCTTCTCCTTCGGCAATTCCACTTTTTGATCCGTCGCAGCAGATGTCCCTCGTCCCTCTGCTGGCGTTAATGACGCCTTTGATGCTGCCTGTTTCTCTGTGCCTTTCTCTTCCCCCGTCACTGGTCGTGCTGCTTTTGATGGGCGGCTGTCGTTGGGGTACAAGTCAGCAGTGCCTCTACTCTCCACGCCAGTCACTTCTTCTTTCGCAGTTGTGCCGCCATCACCATTATTACGCCCCTCTTCTGTTCTTAGTGTACCGGACGACTGCTCTTGTGCCTCAGAATTGGGTTGTCCTGGTGCTGGCACCTCGGCTGTCGATACAACGTGAGACCCTGGCTGTGGCGGATCCTGCTCAGCATCGGGGTCCTCCTCAACACGGGATAATCCTTTCTTGGTGTCATTGAAAGCCTCACCCCCGGGATTTTCCGCATCAGAAAGTAAAGATTTGCAAGCAGGAGAAGCAGAAACCGGAGAGCCACCTCCACTTCCCAAAGAACATTCATCTTTTGTACCTCCAGTGGATACTTCACCACCAACCGGGACTGAAGGCCTACCATCAGCCCCAACTCCACTTCCGCCTAAAGTTCCATGACCACCAGAAAAATCATCACCCCCGGCATCGGCCGACACCAAACCGCACCACAGCACGCAGAGGGCACACACCAGCAGCACACGGCCAGTCATCATCATCGCCATCACTCCTGTCACTTGCGTGCAGCCTTCAGCACAAACTAACAACACGTCAACGCAGAGTGAAAGGAGAAAGACAGCCGCTAAACCACGCACAGCAAAAAATGGCAACACATAGCAGCGGCGCACACACTACGAAACAGTTGAAATCAGTACGGTTGCAGAACTCGCGCAAAACACTGCAAAAAGAAGTTTAAAAGCAAGCAATAAAAAACAGTAATTAAAAAAGAAAAAACCCAGGGGTCCAGTGCGCATGCATACAAGTGTGTCCGCGATGCGTTCAGCGTGGCAGATGTTGGGAAGCAACGCGGAGCACACAGCACGGCAGCGGAGGCAAACAAAGCGAAAAACGATCATTATAATTACTCTTACTTTTTACATCGGACCACAGTAGACGCGCACATGTCCCCGTGGCTGAGTGCTGGCACGCACAGCCCACACACACCTCTTCAGCCCAGAGCGGTGTACGCCAGTGCGGATACTGCAAGCAGCAGCGGGGCACACACCCACGCAGAGCTGCTGAGGCTGCCGTCGATTTCGCGAAGACGTGACGGTGCGCGGGTGGTCGTCGTGGTTAGCGCCTCCGTAGTCGTAGTAAGAGCCTCCGGCGCAGTGGTGGTCGTGGTCGTCGTGGTTGGCTCTGCCGCAGTGGTGGTCGTCTGGGCTGGCGCAGCGGTCGCAGTGGTCGTAGTTGGTGCCTTTGTCGTAGTGGTCGTAGTGGTTGTATTTGGTGTCTGTAACTCAACGTTGTCCTCTTGACCCTTTGGGTAGGCAGGGTCCTCATTTCTTAAACCTTCCTCGCCAGTCCTCTCATTTTCCGCTCCCGCATCGGTGTCCGTGCCTAAATCCTGACTCAAATCGGAATCGTCTTCCTCTTCGGACTGAGGGGACAACAAAATCGAGCCGGCTGATTCGTCGTCATCAGTATCCTCCGCGCATAAGGAAGGGTAGCAGCACAGGGCGAGCACCAACAGGGCGCACAGCAGACGGCACGTCATCATCGTGAGTGTGGTCGTTCAGTGGTGTGGAGCTGATCTGCACAGTGAAGGAAATGGAGAGCAACAGGGGAGACGAGAGGTGCGGCAGACGCACACAGAGGGCACACCACATTAGGAGAGGGCAGCAGCCAGGCATGCACCGTACGCCGCACACCACGCACGACACACACTCCAATCCACGGCAGCAGGCACACACACACACAGCCCTGCCGCAACACCAACACACAGATGGAGGAGGGAGCAGCAAACAGGAGCGGCACACAAGGCTCCACCGCATGCACACACGGCGAGAGCGGTCCGTCGTGCCGGCACCCCTCACGGAGGATACGCACACACACAAGAGAGGGTGCAGCGCACACAGCAACACAAAAGCGAAGTAACAGTAAAAAAGGAGATCCCCGCACACCACGTGGATTGTTGGTCCACGGGAAGCGCAGCCAATATTCATCACAAAGCAACTTATTCTCTTCTCTTGGTTGTATGATGTCGCAATAAAAAGTGAGCAGCGCAAGGGCCGTCCGTACAAAAGTGGCAATCATTCCGTCTCATGCGGGCCGTCGTGCGGTCTGGAGCAGTCACAAACAGTCGCAGTCCATATTCCCAGCGACGAGGGCATTCCCGCAGTGGATGAGGCGGAGTCTCCCGTGGTCCGTCGGGGACCAGCAGCCCATGGCGTCTGTGACGAGGCGCTGGCGGAAGTGCCTGGTCCATCTCGAGTGCCCGCGTTTGTGCTTCCTGCGTGTGTTGCCTGCTGGCATGCTTGGCGACTTCGGTGGCGACCTGCGTGCGAGGTGCCTGCTAGGATGACGGTGGAGCCATCGCGGCATCCGCATGCGAGGCTCTCTCAAACCATTGGAACGCCAGGCCGAGCACGTCGGGCATGTGCCCTCATACTGTGGACGGAAGAGCGCACTCTGCCGCAGGTTGGGCGGGAGGACTTCAATCCGCCGCTCGCTTGTCGGCAAGGAGTCGCGGTGCTCACGTCGGGAAGAAGCTCCGGGAGAGGCGGGCCATTCTCCTCAGTGTGAGAGAGCGGCACCACTGACACAGAGGGTTCCTTGTGATCCGCAGGGCGCGTGCAGGCCTGCCGAAGAGAGGGCAGGAGTCGCATCGCGCCTGCGCGCAGTGCCGCCACTCGGGGCACGATTTCCGGGTCAACAGCAGGAATAGACTCCTCGCCACACCGACAAGCGTCTGTCACGCGGTGTACGCGCCTTCTTCTTCCTCCTGGACATCCTTCCAGCATAACCTCTTGACTGCAGTGAGGAATTCCACTTGCTACATTGGGATGCCTTCTTGCGGGAGAGAGCGTGCAATCGTGGCTTCTTCGTCAGCGGCCTCATTGCGTAGTATACCGCAGTGTGATGGGGAAAGTATAAATTCTACAAAGTTACTTCGCTTCATTAAGGGAAGAAGCATAATCCAAATCTCTTCAGTAACGCGGTCTCGCATGGTCAATGGGCAACAGAACGCCTCAATTGCCGAGAGGGAGTCCGTTGCCACCAAGATTCGTGTGGGCGATTGGGATGTTTCTGGACGAGGAGGTATAAGATGTCTAAAGCCACTTTCAATGGCAAGGCACTCTGCTCTATACGAGCATGCGAGCCTGCCAGATGCTACACGATGTACCTCCGCAGGAAGATCATTTGCTGTGGTGTATTCGTACAATATTGCAGCGGATCAATGTGCGGGTTCAGCGAGAGAGGAGGGACTGTCCATCCATAATTCAAAATCATAATCTCCCAGAGAGGAGTGAGTAGAATAAAAAGCCGTGCGCCTGACATCGTCAGAGGCGTCGTTGGCAAAGACTGACTGATAAAATCTCACTTTGTTGCAGCTCACAGTGTCCCAGGGAAAAAATACGATGTTGAATAAGAGGAGAGCGCGAAGGTGGTTGCGGGGTGTCCCAATAATGTTACAGACGCGGCGTAATTCATTAATAACGGCATCTCTCTGAAGCGGATTGATGTCGCCGCTTTCCCATGCATGGACGGCGGCATAGGTTCCGAGTAGATAAGGGAACGCAAATCCTCGTGGTCATGGAGGCGTATACAGAGTTAGTATTGTGTGAGTGCACGGAGCCAGAGTATCTTCCGGAGCCGGAAAGATTGGCTTCCAAGTAGACAGATGTATCTTCCGTTGGTGCGCTAAATAAAAGAGATGTGTTACAGCTGTCGCGGTACCGTACTTCCATATTATGGAGGTAGTTGTAGGCAAGGCATGAGACAATTGCCTCGCCACGATATAGTGACACACTGTGGACGTATCCAATCGAAAAGAATCGCATGGTGAGATGGGACGCACCAGCTTGTGCGACCAGCTTCAATTGGTAACGGCGTGGCATTGTCTGCTTTGAGGCGGTGGAGGCGTGCGTGCCAAAATTAAGAAGGCGATCAATCGTGGTGCCCAGCAAGCGCACCGGGCGTGACTGAATGCGTAGTTGCCCATTGCCAAGATGGAGATCGACCATGTCCTCGTCAGACCGTGTGTGTGTGAAGAGATGTAGAATGCAGCAGCTTTGCTCTTAGCGACGTTGATTTTGAGGTTGTGTCTGGCAGCCCATTTCGATAAAAGGGACAGGGCGGGTTGCATCGCCGCAGCACATGCATGGATGTCCGCACCTGAGGCAACAAGTGTGTGTTCGTCAGCGTACATGAATGCAGCGGCAGAATAGATGTTGTCCATGCGGTGCAGCAGATAATCCACACAGTAGAGGGAGAGTTGGGGTCGCGGGACGCCGCCTTGTGGTGCTCCAGCTGAGGTGAGTTGTTTCCGGGAGTGCTGTTCGCGAGTGCACACCCTAACACGGCAGCCCCGCAGGTAGTTGTGCAGCCAGCGTTTGGTTCGTGGGCCAAGGCGCGGAAGTCTGTCAAACATGCAGAACAATTTCCCATGGTCAATGGTGTCGAACACAGTCGAAAATCAATCAAGACTACGAGCGAGCGGTGGAGACGAGGGTGCTGTGTAGGGGGCGCCGCCTCCAGGGCGCTCATACTCCACAGTGCTGAACTCATTCAATCCACGGGTAATTCTATCGATAACAAGTGCCACCACGTCCGATGCAGAACGCGGAGGTGCAAAGCCAAATTGACGTGGGTGGTGCGGCAATAACGCTGACAGACGGCGGTGAATCATCCTTTCGATTAGCTTTGGTAAGGCATAGAGTAGCGTGATAGGTGTGTGACTCTCTGGGCGGCATGGACCTTTTCCCAGGCTTGGGGATAGGAATAGTGTCCACCGTATTCCAGGAACCAGGCAGGCTGCCATTTGCGAGAGAGTTGTGGATCATCGCTCCAATTGTGTGCCGCACGCAACGGGCCCGAGACGGTGCAGGAATTCATCGAACATGTTGTCGGGGCCAGCGGCCGAGCCGAGCGAGGAGTCACGGATGGTCACGTCAATTTCATACGGCGTGAGAGGCCGATCCATTTCCCGGTCACCAGGAAGCAATGGAGCGCGGCGGACAGCAGCAGCAGCATAAGGTGATTTGGCACGTGAAACCCGCACAAAATGATGGACGAGCAGATTTGCCTGCTGCCGATGCAGAGCGCAAACGCGGCCAAGTTCAGCGCGGAGCACAACCGATTCCAGAGGATGAGGGTGCGGCGCCGCCATGCCGCGGAGATATCGCCAGCTTGGGCTGGGTGAGGCTCCAATTCTTTTCGTGCAGGCTTCCAGAGGCATAGCGAATTCACGGCGTAAGGCCTGATTTTATTCCCCTCTTTTTGGGATGAATTCGGCTCGAAGTAGACTGTCTCCGGGTGAGGCAATGTGTGCGTTGTATGCAGCTTCGGCGGCGATCTCGGCTTGCCCCATTTCGTGTGTCCATATCGTTTTGGGGCTGTCACGGCTGCCGCGCGGGATATGGCGCTCAGCTGCTCGTAGGATGCCTCTGCGGATGTACAACCATGTGGGCGCGGTGGCAAGGAGTGCTTCACACGAGGTGGAAGCAGGCCAATCCGCTTTGCGCAGAGCAAAGGTGGCTTTCTTCCGTCGAGGCAGCGTGTTGGCTAGTCGCGGAATGCCATCGCCCATCCCTACCGAGTAAGATATTCAGCAGCGGTCCGAATCCATGCAGGGAGTGGATGTCCGGTGGGAGATGCGTGGGGCGCGATACGCAGTCACGTCAGAGGACGAGACATCACGATGTGTGATCCGTGTTGCCTGCGCCGGATCATTTGCCAGTCCGAAATCCATATCGATTAAAACGGCGGCAAAGTTCCCTCCTCCAGTCGTTGTTGGTATGTATGACTGTCCCAGAGCTCATGATGTCAATTCGGTTCACCCACGATAATCGCAGCGGGGACCAAGCGACGGAGGATATTGATAAATGTAGATTCTTGAACAGTTTCCATGGGAGGGTTGTAGAGATTCGCCACGCAAATGCTGCGACAGCCCTGATGAGTTGCACGGACAGCAATGGTCTCCAGGAGGTCAGTGCCAGGGAGCGACAGGCGCTCGCACGGTAGAGAGTGGCGCAGCAGAATGGCAACGCCACCACCGCGCCCAGTGAGGCCTGAAGAAAGTCATTGCAGCCAGAAATTTTTGTCGCTACGTCACTGCGATTATTTATTTCCTGCAGAAGAACGGTGTCAGGTTGGGGCAGTTCCCATCGCACAGCAAAAGCAATCTTTTTACGGACGAGAGGCCTGCAATGCTAAGCCGCCGAACAGTGATGTAGCCATCCTCCTCGGTGCCAGAGCTCTTGTGGACGTCACCGCCACGGGTGATATCAACGGAGTGACCGCTGCGAAACGGTCGCACAGATTTTCCCGACAGTCTGCAGGCAGACCGCCTCACCTCCCCGCACCGGGCATGGCGTGGAACCCTCTCGAGGGGTGAAGTCGTCTTGGTCTCCGTCGTACTCGCAGCAACGCCCTGCTGCGGAGTTCTTATGTGCAACCAGAGCCCCAGCACCGCGACAAGGTGCGAATTCATTGCTGGGGCCCAGGAGAGGCCGCAGTGCCTCCTGCTGTCATCCGGAATCTTTGTTGACGCCTTGATGCGGGCAAGCGCCCATTGTTTCTTACAAACAACGCTGCACACCCGCGACGCATCTTGCGCTGTGAGAGGCACGTCCCTCACCACAACCGGAGTCGCCCACGCGCCGTCGGTACGCACCACATCGTCAAGAAAAGAGCAGGAATGTGTCAGGGTGACAACGAGGCACCCGCTGGAGAGTCGAATCACAAACATCACCAGCAGCGCCGCAAGCCACGGGTTAACGTGGAACAACTGACGCATGGCGTATGTCGAAGGAAAACTTAGTGCCTTCACAAGAATAAGAAAGAATAAAACTCTCCCAAAAGAATATGAGAATAACAATAAAAGATTGAAGTGCCCGCGATCAAAGCATGCCGCAAAGCAAAGAAAAGTGGAATGGGTGCACTCAACCACAAAATCAAAAAGGAAAACAAAACAAAAAGCCGAAGCGTGGGACGACCAGCGCACACACACTCTCATTACTCCCGTAAAGCAAAACACACAAACAGGGAGAGAGAGAGAGGTCGCCCACTCAATGCAATAAAAACAAAACAGAAACAGTTACGGTGCTCCGCCCATGCAGCCAGGCAGGACGGCAGCGGTGCGTGTCGTGCAAAAGAGAGCACCAACGGGCCTGCATGGGTGTGCATGCATATATACAATGGGCACATTATTGTGTGTGCCTCGTGGGGTGAGGTGAGGGCGAGAGTCCATGCAAGGGGACACACACACAGAGAGAGAAGGACGAGTGTGTGTGCGGGCGGTGCACGGCTCTCTCACACTCACTCTCACGCGGCCACCACCGCAGCAGCAGCCGAAACAACAACAAGAAGCAAAAGAGGGGAGGTGGTGTGGGAGACAGCGGTGCTGCCGTCAATGTCGCCAGGCGTTTGAGTGCCTTCGGTGTTCGTCTTATTCGGTGCTCCTTCCGGGCCTGAAGTTGAATTCCTTTTCTCTTGACTGACAGCCGGCATCCCCTCTGAGGTGTTGTCATCATCCTTTTCTTTATCCTCTTCATCTTCTTCCACCCCATACTTGGCTTCTTCTTCCTTGGTGTTTTTCTCACTTTCTTCTCCCTTTTTATCCTCTTCCCTTTCCTCTGCCTTCTCTCCCTCTTCTGCATCCTCTTCTTCATCGTCTTCCTTGTGATTTTCTTCTTCCTCTTCGCTGTCATCTTTCTCCCCACCTTCTTCTTCTTTCTCTTCTTTGGCGTTTGTCTCATTGTGTTTTCCTTGAACTAAAGTTTCTCTTGCAGGCGGCACAATAGCAGGTGCAGGATTCACTGACGTCTGTTCACTTGCCACTGCTGTTTTTTTGCCTGTAGATGCTTTTCCTGAAGTCGCCAGTGTTTCACTTGTTTTTTCATCTTCCACCGTGTTGGGATTCTCTTTTCCACCACCTTCAGCAGCAGCAGCAACAGCAACGGCGGAAAGTTGACGCCTCCAACGGCTGCGGCCATCCACAGCAGCATGCAAACTCTCCATCACCTGACGCACGCATTCCTCGACGGAGGACGCATTCGCACGGCCTCCTGTCCTCCTGCCCACCTCCTCCGCGCATTCCGTCAGAAACCGCGTACGCCACTGCAACGGCAAATACTCACCCGCACTGCCATCGCCACCGCCAGCTCCATCCGCTGACAACACCGCCACCGCAGCACCACACCACAGCACGCAGAGGGCACACACCAGCAGCACACGGCCAGTCATCATCATCGCCATCACTCCTGTCACTTGCGTGCAGCCTTCAGCACAAACTAACAACTCCCCGTCAACGCAGAGCAAAAGCAAAAGAAGACACGGCCACTACACCACGCACAGCCACCGCATGGTAACAATTGGAAGCAGCCCAGCAGCAGCGCACACACCACAAAAAAGTTGGAAACAGTACGATTGCAGAACTTGCCCACCGTCCTGTAAAACAGATGTAAAAAAAAATAAAAAACATTAATTAGCAAGCAAAAAAAAAGTTTAAACCCACACCCAAGACTCCAGTGCGCATGCATACAAGTATGTCCGCGATGCGTTCAACGTGGCGGATTTGGGGAAGCAACGCGGAGCACACAGCAGGACATCGGAGCAGCAAAGCAAAAAACGATCATAATAATTACTCTTACTTTATACATCGGACCACAGTAGACGCACACATTTCCCCGTGGCTGAGTGCTGGCACGCACAGCCCGCACACACCTCTTCAGCCCACAGTGGTGTACGCCAGCGCGGATACGGCGAGCAGTAGCGGGCCACACACCCACGCAGAGCTGCCGAGGCTGCCGTCGATTACGCGAAGACGTGACGGTGCGCGGGTGGTCGTCGTAGTTGGTGCCTCCGTAGTCGTAGTGCTTGGTGCCTCTGGCGCAGTGGTGGTCGTCGTAGTCGTGGTCGTTGTAGTTGGTGGCTGTGTTGTAGTGGTGGTTGTCGTGGTTGTCTTGGCAGAAGCTTCGGCGTTCTGACCTGCTTTCTCTGCAGATGGGTGCGTGAGACTTTTTGTCCCTGCCGTACCGTCTGTCTTTGCCGTTTTTTTCGTGTCAACTGATTGCATCACCGTACTCTTCGAACTGTTTTCCCCGGTAGGTGTTTCCGGTTCATTAACGGGCCCTGAGCTTGAGGACCCTGAGAGACCGGTATCCCCACGTGTTGACTCTGATACAGGGGGCTTTGGATCACCGGTCGTCGTTGTGGTTGATGGCTCTGGTGGAGGGGGTGGGGTCCTGGAGTCGTTTCCATCAGCCTGAGCTTGATTCTGCTGAGTCTCTGACGCGCATAAGGAAGGGTAGCAGCACAGGGCAAGCACCAACAGGGCGCACAGCAGACGGCACGTCATCATCGTGAGTGTGGTCGTTCAGTGGTGTGGAGCTGATCTGCACAGTGAGGGACATGGAGAGCAACAGGGGAGACGAGAGGTGCGGCAGACACACACAGAGGGCACACCACATGAGGAGAGGGTAGCAGCCAGGCATGCACCGTACGCCGCACACCACGCACGACACACACTCCAATCCACGGCAACAGGCACAGACACACACAGCCCTGCCGCAACACCAACACACAGATGGAGGAGGGAGCAGCAAACAGGAGCGGCACACAGGGCTCCACCGCATGCACACACGGCGAGAGCGGTCCGTCGTGCCGGCACCCCTCACGGAGGGTACGCACACACACAGGAAAAGGTGCAGCGCACACAGCAACACAAAAGCAAAGTAACAATTTAAAAGGGAGTGATCCCCGCACACCACGTGGATTGTTGGTCCACGGGAAATGCAGCCAACATGCATCGCAAAATAATTCGGTTGTCATCGGCCTTCGTCCATATTCAGCGCACACCACTTCATGCAGGCCCGGCCACTTCCGCAGCAGCAGCAGCAGCACGCATACGTGACAATAAGACGCAAAGGATGGGAGGTGGTGTAGAAGACCGCCGTGCTGCTGTCGCTATCGGCGGTGGTCGTTGTTCCTTCGTCATTGTTAGTGACTGATGTTGTCGTTAATTCTTCCGGCTGTTTGACAGGGAGCGATGTTAAAAGACAATTGTTTTCCTGGCAGTCATTTGATTCCTCTCCTTTCCCGTCGATTTCTGTGCTCGCCGCTGTGGTAGGCGAGACGCTGACAGGGCTGCCAGCACCATCTGACTGAACTTGGTCTGCTGTGTTCTCGTCCCCAGTCCCACTGCACCAGCTGCTGGGGGCGGTGCCGGCCGCATCAATCAATGGGTGTGTCCGCAATCGACAGGAACTTGCATCGACAGGGACTTCTGCACCGACGCTCGGGGATGGGGGAACAGTGGCGACAAACAGAACAGCGCATGTCACCCCGGAAATAAATGGCGGTGCGAGTGGCGTCCTCGTCGTGCGTCCCCTCCGGCCACTCCTTGCCGTAAAGCATTGCCTGAGCACATTGGATTCCACCTGAGAGACCAATTAAAAATGTTCTTTCCTCTAAATATATTGTACTCACATGTGGCGACGGCCGCCCGCAATGCCTCCAGCGGATACACCTGCGATGCACGGTCGACACATTCCACATCCACTCGCTGTGCTCCATCCAACACCATCTTTTCCTTGGAGCTACGAACAACACCGGGCACACACTCCTTTGCGGCCGTCCACGGCATGCGCCTGCGGTGGGGATCCGGAGAAAGTCCCATTCCTTTTGTGCAAAAAGTCATGGAGCTGCCGCCGTTAAGCGCGTCCCGGCGAGGGCAACAACAGCCCGCCGCAGCACTCACAAATGCCCACCTGTTGATTCCTGCGCGAAAAAAATAGACAATGGACAATGGAGGGAAAAGCGCGCACAAATGCCCTAGCAAAAAAGGTCAGCACCAGTGGATGAACACTGAAGCCGTGGGTGCATGCTCCACAAATGTCTTTCCTTTTTTAGCTGCCTTCTTAGTTGCATGGAAATGACTTGCAAATGCACACGCAAGAATACAAAGGTAAAAGGCAAGCAGCGCAGCCGTTGAAACACACATACGCACATCGTATGAAACGCTTCATGGAAAGGAACGGGATGCAGGAAGAAGCGCACACAATTTCCACAGACACCCGCAATCGTGTGTGGTTGCATCTGTTCCACTCTTTGGCTCTCGATGCGTTCCTGTGCGTGTCTCGCCCGTGAGTCACAGTGCCGTAGGGTGCTAATTCCCTGCACAAACACACCTCAGGACGCGGCATCGAGGATTCCCCAATGAACACCTCACGGCCATACCTTTTGGATATCTCATGGACCGAGCGCCTCTCGCTGCAGGCCACACCACCCAAAACAAGCAGCACTATGCGCTGAGGAGTTGTGAGGGCAATCGTCCCACCACCGCCACACAGATCTGGATGATTCTCCCATTTGCCACCACACCCTTGAAATGGCTCGGCGTTGTTCCCTCATGCTCCACTGTTTTGACCACCACTCGCGCCATTTGGCCCCATCGCATGATCGCGCTCCACCGATGCCAACGACAGCTCAACCCGCAGCGTCCTATTCCTGCCCGCCGTCTCCATCATCATACAGGCATGCTTCTGAAAGGGATCCCCGTCCGTCGCGGCGTTGCTCGCAGAGGCACTCGTGCTCCGTTCGCCCTGCGCCGAAACCGTGCTGTATCGATGCACGCTCCCGGCCCTCCTCGCCACATGCTCAAGGTTCGCAAACAAATGGGCGTCAGTCCACCGTCTCGGATCAGCTGCTGCTTCTTCGCCTCCGTCAACTCGTCGGTGTTGCTCGCAGTCACAAGCAACAGGAGAAGACAAAGTCGCACAGGCCGGGGCATTGCGGCATCCCTCGTCAGGTGCCGCACACCATTCAGGTATTTCCTGAGGAGTTTGTGCCCAACGGCGATGTCTTGTTCCACCTCCCGCACCTCCGCCAGTCGCTTCTCCCGGTACTGTGCCACAAGCCTCGCGCAAAAAATCGATGTGCAGCGACGGTCTGGCTTGCCTCTCCCGAAACTCCGGCGGAGCCCGCACCGCACTGCCCAGCTTCGCAGGATCGGCCTTCGGCTCCCCGCCCTGCGCCAATCCCGGGTGATACACGTGGAGTTTTTTCAGCGTCACCGAAGGCCCCTCCACGCACTGCGCAAGAAAACAATGACGGTAGGAGCACTAGTATACATCTTCCCCATCAATTACTGCCGCTTCGAGCCCAAACCCAGACGATTCCTACAGGTCTGCTCATACAATTTATTCTCCAGCGGCATCAGGTCATCAAGCAGACACTGACATGTGCGTTGGTGCATCAGCGGCGTCACCGTGACACAGCCCCAATCAACGATGATCCGCACCGGGTTGCCGCAGCTGTCGGCGCCACTAAGCGAAATCCGGCTCGTCGTAGCAGAGCCTGAAAAGCCCTCAAAAAAGGTCCTGGCAAACCCATGGCAGATGCTGCCTCTGTTTTGGTGGCGAATAACAGGCACACCGTTGTTCATGGCGTGAAAAGCCGCCACAATAAGTGACTCAGCAACGTTCAAAACGGACTCTCGAGTCGGCGGCGACAGTGGCGACAGCAGCTGAGGGAACCCATTCTGCATGCTGGGGTGAAACACCAGCACTTCAGTGGCGACGAAGTCTAACATAATGTCCTTCAAACGCATCGCCTTCGGCGCTATCCGAGCCCGCACCAGTTGCTGAAGGCGGCGATGCGGGGTGCACCCCAACGCAAAGATGTGTGCATCCCTGTGCGGGACCTTTGCCATCCAATCCTCAGCCACGCGGCTCACAGACGAATCCTCCACGGCAAAAAGTAGGGCGCAGGGCTGCTGATAACCGGCTGCCGCGGCGTCATGAGGTCCCCGAGCAGCGTCACGCCGTGCTCCATGAGATCATGGAGACGCATTGAGCAGTTTAGCACAGCCGCAGCATGGGCATCGCAGTAAAAAACTTTGGACAATCCATGAACGACGTCAAGCATCTGATGGAACATATGATCCCGCACACAACCACAAAAGCCATTGCTGGACTCACGCGGCTGCCAGCTTCCGTCGGCC